TTCAGCCCTTGTTAAAACATGTGGCGTGAGGATTTGTAAGGATCTATTGTTCTTGAAGTTTGGTTTGTTTTTAGCTTTAAGGAAATTTAAAAGGTGGTAAAAATTTTAAAAATCAAGGAAATCATTAAGATTCCAATTTAAAAGATTAAAGCATAAAATATTTCACCTGTGTTAGTCATGAAAAAAATATCTCTTCAGGAGATAAAAATAAATCTTGAAATTAAATTATATCATCATCTAGGCAGGTGGTTACTATAGCAGTGAGGGAAAAAGAGACTGTAAAATTGACTCAAGTTTTCCTGAGGCAGAAAAAAATCTATAAAGTATTCCAAGTTTATAAAATGATAATTTTAAGTCCCAGGTTGAAATGTGAGTGGCTGCAAGTCTTGCTCTCTCTTCCTTTAAATGCCATATGAGGCCAGGAGGGCATCCAGTCCAGAAAGTGAGGGGCAATGTGTGGCATCAAATTGTTATTTCTGGCCACCAGAGAAACCTACCAGCTATCATGGCAGAATCAATACCATAAATTAATATAAAAAATAAATGATCTGAAGAAAATATATTTTTCAATCTTTGAGAATTCCAAACACATATGTACTGAAATGTGATCATGTCTATTTTCTGTTCCCCTCTCCAAGTCTCCATGTAGCCTTCTAATACATTTCCCTCCAAATTTAATGTTCTCTCTTTCATCCACTGAGTCCAACTAGTGCTGTCCAGATGTACACAGAGGTGGGGTCTTCCACTGAAGAATAGGAAAATCTACCAATGGTCACACCCACAGAGAAGAATTATTCTCTCTTCCCAGTATCTATCAACTGCAGCAAGCTGCTAGACAAGAGAAGAAACCTAAAGAGCCCCTCCTCCATCAATGCTGGTATTTTGTCTGGCTCAGTCTGGTGTGGATAACCAAACAAGCCATGAGGTCATGGTCAGCAATCACACCGTTTCTGGAAGACAGCACATCTCACCGCATCCCTCCTCATCTCTCAGCCCCTTTGCTCTTTGGGCCCCCCCTTCCATGTCTCCTAAGCCTTGGGGTAGCAGCTTGGTGATGAACACGTTCCATTTAAGGCTGTGTACTGATAATTTGTTATACTTAGCAGAATCTGCACTGACTGCCGAGAACTAGAAAAAAAAATTAACCAAGGTTGAGAAAAGGCCCTATCTATGAATATAAATGTAAATATTTGGAAGGCAATTTGACATCATGATCACTAAGCAAGCCAAAAGCAGGCTCTACCCTAGAACTAATGACCTCTTAGTCATGAGCTTTTGACTAGATTAACAGCACCGGGATGAAATGCCCTCTTGTGGAACAACCCTTAAATCCAGTTGGAAAGCAATTAGTCACCACATTATAGTCGTGTGTTCCAGTAGGCAGGCACATGTTGCCTAGCCGGTAGGTAGTACAGCATACTGTGTCTCCACTAGATATGTCTTTTCCCCCACCAGCAGCCCCGTAGCACCTCACAATGCTACCAAAGGAGGAAGGAAGCTTCCCAATTGGTTTGAGAGTGATTTCTCTATGTTCTGCAGCTAAAATGTGTTGTGTTTTCAGCAATAGAATCTTGTAGCTATGGTAGATAACCAAGGGTAATGGAAATAGCCTGTTTTATTAAAACCATATTTCTCAAAACTGGGAAATTCTGTGTATCTTATTGGTTTTCCACAGTGACAGTGCCTCGGTTTTCTACTTTTTAAGCTAAAGAAGAGACTATAAGCGACCAAACAACTGATCTGGACTATAGGACCAGAGTCGGAATAGCAGGGGCTTCAACCATGCAACTTTCTCTACCCCATACTATCAGAAATGCAATATATGACTAACATGCTTAGATAACACAGGAGATGTGAATTCTCAAGGGAAAACATATTGGCTAGAGTTCTTTTCAGATATAGAACTTCATATAAGTGGAAAGTTTCATGTCAGAAGAGTTGGGATTTGGCTTTGCAAATACAATGCTTTTGTAAAAGTGTAATGTCCCGAGTTCAAATCCCTCAAGCACACATAAACATTAGCATAGGTCTGTAACCTCTGTAATCTTAGGTTAGGAAGGAAGGTAGAGTCAGAAAAATCTCTCAGAAGTTCATGGGCCTGCAAGAGCAAATGGTGTAGATGGATACCAACACAAGTTTGTCCTCTGACTTCCACACATATTGTGTGATTTACATGCCCCCAACTTTCATGTACATACATCACACACACACACACACACACACACACACACACACACACACACACACATTCACAAATAAAAGGAGAAAGTTACACGTTAAAGAACTGATATTGATTATCCCAAGACCTTGGGGGTAGTTCGCACAGAAGCATCTTGTCTGTAAACCCCATGGCCAGGAGAACAAGAGCCATACCCAACAGTTTTGACCTCTGGATGACGATGTTCACTATGATGGGCGGTAGTGATTCTCTGTTAGATATTCCTTGATTCATCTCCTCTCAGTAAATTGCTACCATCTAAATAAATGTGGGAAACACTGAAGGAATATTCTCCTGGTCCTATTATTTGAAAAGGTTTAAATATCCATAAACATCATAGCCAAGACTTAGGAAGCTCTCATTAAAATACAGATAAAATACACAGATATTCCTGTGTTTTGTTCTTTCTATCAAAATCTCTGCCAAGAGAGTATGTAGTTCGCTTTCTTTTCTTTTTTTTTTTTAAGACTTCATCAAGGGAATAAAAACATCACTCTTCTAATGAGAGACTAGACATTAGAGCCTCTAAAATTTCTTATTCCTGAATGCCCACACTAGCTTTCTGATTCCTTGTTTAAAATGTTTATCAAATAAGGCTGAAATGTTGGCTTGACTATGATTAAAAAGAATTCATTCTTCTTTTATTTCAATAGATTTTGCTACAGACGTGATATTCTTTCTTTTTAAAGCAAGGTTACATCCTGGATGCCTCTCTCTACCCTCAAAAGGAATCTGGATATTGTTATCTTAGGGAAATGACATTACATTCTTTAGTTGAAAGCTAAAGATCCTTGGAGTACACAGAAGCCTGCTGACAGGGCTCCTGTGACCTGTGCCTGAAGCTGACTAGGGAACTTCAGAATGCTAATTATCATGTGCATATAGAATGAGTCTAGGATCTAACATTCTGCATGCATAATCTCAAGATTGTTAAGTAAAAATTATATAGGCTACTGTATATCCTCTGTGATGCAAACCAGTAGAAATTCTTGTCTTCTGTTTCTTGAAAGAATGCCTTTCACTTTGCATCTTTGGATATTTACTTCCAGGGTGTTTATTTTCCCTTCTTTGGAGCTTATTCCTCCTCCCCAGTTTGCAGCACTTCAGTACCATGAAGGGCTTCACTCTAGAGAATCTGTGAAGCAAAGAAAAGCTCCATGGAGCCATACTGAGTAAACGAAAACACATCACATTAATTCGGTCTCCTCCTGCTATCCTCCTATCAGTTATGGAAAGTAAGAAAGATTAAACAAAAGTTCAGACAGAAGCACACACATACAAGGGGTTTTGGTTGTTGTTATTTTTTTCTGTCTTTACATACACTCAACCAAAGCCTTCCTAAAGTTGCTGAAGCTTTCTGACATCACGAAGTCCTTTTCTGTGAGTCATTAAATTGCTGAAGCCCAGAAAATCAAATTTAGTTTAGGTCTGTTTGATAATGTAATAACACAGTAAAATGTGATTCACCAATTAGCTCATGTAATTGAATAATCAAAAACATGCTCCGAACGAGTCGCCGAGGCACAGTCCACCATCCTTACGGCTTTGTATTTTCACTGACTACTACTGCAGGTACCTCTTGGGCCAACGATATTCCCTCCCTGCTTCTTATGAAAGAGAATCTACAAATGCATCTGTGGCTGTAGATCAATAGAAGACTTAGCTTCATTACTTGCTGATTTCTCTCTTCTCCTTCATCAGCTCCCTCTTGAGTAACTTCAACACTGGGCAAAGGGGCTGCCAATCTAGTCCTGGCCTCCCTAGCACTCTCAGTCTCCATATTTAAATTCCGTAAGGAGAGAAACCCAGACTGATGTTAGAACCTTGAAAGGCAATCACAATTTTGTAGTTGAAAAACTGTCTCCCTTGATGATTCCTAAATTCTAATGGTGTGAGCAAGACATACTTTAGGGGAGAGGGGGCGTAATAGACAGTTTGAGACTTTTTTCTCAGAAATTATCATTTTCTAAGAAGAAATCTGTGGCATATAAAAATAGGAATTCAGTGGGTTTTTTTTTTTGCTAAGTTTACAGCATTTTCATAATTCTCTGTGCACATCTGTTGATTCATAGGTGCCCGGCTATATTCAAAATTTCTCCTTCTAAACTCAGATCAATTCAAGGATTGTTTAGATGGCTGAAACAAACTCTAATGAGGAATTTTTAAATGGGTCCTACTTTATTCATTTATTACTTCTGAAATATCTGGGCAGGTTTTCATGGTCCAGGGCTTCCAATAAGCAAAAGAAAGAGTAATTGGAATATATTACCTGAACTTGCGTCGATAAAGAAATGGAATTTCTTAGCTGACTCAGTCATTCTTAATGTAGCTTTGCCCCTCAAAAGAGAGGAGAAGGAGGAGGGGCAGGAAGAGAAGGAGGAAGAAGAGGAGTAGAAGGGCATCCCATGGAGTTTTACTGCCATGTTACACATCACACTTTAGATTTTATTCAAGAGGTCTAAAGAGTTATTAGTAAACAATTTCCTTTGTAATTATATATCATCACCCTTTGATGATTTGTTTATAAACTCATAATGCATATTTTGTACTGCCTCCTCGCATAAAAAATCCAACATTCTAAGCAATGAAATCATCATTAATTATTTTTGTTGTGTCTCATTTTATTTAAGGAAAAACATAATCCGAAGCCCAACGTGAAGGAAATACTCTCTAATGGCAGGTGTATGCCACCACACCTGGAGTTCTCCAGCAGTTTTTAAATGTAGAATCTCATACTCAAAGCGCATTAGTAATTCTCTTTCCTTTTTTTTCCTATTAATAGGTCAATGGAACAGAAATTGAATATGAATTTGAAGAAATTACATTGGAGAGGGTAAGAAAAAAATTAAACTCTTTAAGTTGATTTTCTACCTTCCAGGTCCTGATTTGTAATCTTGTGAAATTATAAAATTATATTTCTTAACCTAAAGTTAACTACAAGATTTACAGGAGAGTGTTAGTGAAATGCTTTCGGCAGAGAACATTGAGATAGAAGACCAAACACCCAGAGTGTTCTATTAGTAGACCATGTTGTCAGGGATAGGGGAAACAAATGGCGAAGGCGGAAGTGGCCCAGGAGCTTGTGCGTTTCTGGATATTCTGGATACTCTGTTGTTACTGATGTGGCTGTATGTTTCTAAGACAGGTGATAAGATGTTCTCCATCGTGTGATATTGTTGTCATAATCTGACCTACAACTGCCACACATTTTCTATTTCAGCAACAAAAAGAGTGACAAGCATAAAGCCTATCCCCAAAGGCAGGCACATCAACCCTGTAGCGCTCTGAAAATACGCTAGAAGGACCTTGGCAATGACTTCCGGCAAATACGGGAAACCGTGCCACTCAGAGCATTTTGGTTGTTTACAAAACAGCCAAAGAAATGTCAAAGACAATCTCTAAAAAGCAGTGTCAGGTAACATTAACAGGCTAGCCATCATTCCGAAAGGTGACATAAAACAGCTTGCTTACCCTCATTAGGACATGAAGATGAGGAACATGAGCAGTTTCATATCTAATTGCAAGTTTTTTCAAAGGTGCCGTACTATCTATTGACAATAAATTGTTCTGAAAATGAGCTAATTTGGAAACAGAGATCAAAAACCTTGGAAAAAAAGCATAGTTTTAGAAACACAATTACATTTTAAAAATTAGACAAATTTTACAAAGACTGCTCTTATTTGTACTGTTTATAACAGTAAAGGCTCAAAAATATATTTATTACTTCCTTTATACCCATATAATATTCATCTTAAAAAAATAAATACAATGAAATACTGTTATTATTTCAATATCAATTTAGACTATGTCATTGCAAGAATACAAAGCATATCAATTATGTAAATCAATTTTAAAATAGTTTTACAGTAGTTTTAAAAGGTAGTTAAACATAGACTGAATCGAATTGAACAAAACTCTTCCCATCTCCAAGTTTTAGTAAAAGTAGAAAAGTTTTAAATATTCTTTTCTTTGAAAAAAAGAGAGGGAAAATTAAAACAACATCCAGAAAGAGTGGGGGACACACATGGTATGGCTGAGTCTTCTCGCCACTTGAGAATCAGGGACTCTATCACAATTAACACTACTGGTTGTGAGGATTACTGAGAGAAATTAACAAGCAATTTGTTTTGTCATTGGAGAATTGCCTTTAGATGACTTATTGTTTATAAACTCAAAATGTTTGTTTTGTATGGTCCCTCATACAAAAAACAAATCACACCACTCTGAGGGGTAGAACCATTGATGATTATTTTTGTAATGTCATTTTCATTTTGGCGAAAACATCCAATGCACAAACATAAAAGCATGTTCAGGAATGGCAGGTGTGTGGTGGCAGTATGGTTTATGAGGTACAACGCACAATGAAAATGGCGACCCTACTAAACCCAGAACCTATGCAGCTAAACCAGTCTCACTGTGTGCTTTATTCTTATCCCCTCCCTAAGTAGTCCCCTTTTATATAGATATTTTACATGAAAATAGCAATGTACCAGATTTAAGACCCCAATGTGTATGACTTTGGTTAGGACTATAAGACTCAAAGACATCTTACAGGTGTCTCGAACAAGCCTATTAACTTTTGTTTGCTGTGACAGTATCCTACCTCCCTGCATCCCTGTGACCTAAGGTTTTACGTCGTCAACTGGATCAGTGTTAGGTGCACCTTGGGGACCATCCTGTGATCCCATTATATTTATTCTCAGCTTTTAATAATAATAGCTGAAGAAGTCACCAAAATCCTTCAAATGGCTCGTAAGCCTAGTGACACGTGAGTCTCATTTGAGAAGCTCACACCCCTAGTTGGATCTGTCAATCTTTCACTTTCTCTCTGTCTATTCGTTCCTGTACTGAAAATCTACGGAAAATGATCGAATTCCAACCGTGCTTTATAATACACATTAAAATAAATACACCAAAGATACATATATGCAACATATGTGACCCTGGAAGGATATAAGCTGTTAAAGTGTTCCTGTCTTACTAAGGATTTGGGGTAGATATTAGTTGTTTCTTTTTGCATATCTCCTAAATATATTTAATAATTTTATAATACAATAAATTATATAATAAATTATATAATAATTTAAATAATTTTGTATAAAATGAAAACATAATTATTATTCTATGAGCTGTCATTCAAGTGTGAGTTAATACTATAGACCTTTATTCATTTATACTTCCGCTTTAATTTCTTGCTCTTCACTTTCATGAGTCAACAGATTTCTCATTTTATTCTAATTTTTATTGAGCGTGAGTCCTCTTAAAGAAATTTACATGGGAAGCCAAGTACTCTGCAGATGGAGTCTTTAACACATCCATTATGGACTTGAATAAAATTTTAATGGCATTCTAAATAGAGAAAGTGGTGTTAGGGGATAGTAACTCAAACAAGAGAGAGAGAAAGAAGAAAAACTACGCACGTTTGTAAATCGCTATCCTCTCCGAGGCTGGAAATGTCATTAGTGAGGTTCAGTACAAGATAAAGTGGGCAGTCCATCTAAACCCAGGGCCTAAGCAACTCAGGAGACCCCACTCTGTGTCCGCTTCTTCTCCCTTCCCCTACACAACATACACTATCTTTAAGAAAGCACTGTTTTTTTCTGCTTAGCTCTAGCTCAGCAGATAACTAAAGGCAAACATCAAGTTGAGAGAGAGCATTCACATGGAGTCATATGATTGCAGGTTCTAGTTTGGAGTCTCATATTTACACTAACCCTAAGCAAGCTACACCTTCTCCCTGCCTCCCTGTTATTGGATTTCCGATCATACACTGAACCTTGTCATTTCCACTAACTGTACACCTTTCAAATCCTCTGTGCCACATGTTATATCTTTTTCAGAATTTCTCTCCCGAACTTCCATAATCTCCATTAGGACTTGAGTTGCTGACTTCATGGTCTCCCCCTAGTCTACATCTTTATGTCTTCCCTTCCCTCCTTACATACGAAGTCTGACCTGGTCCAGCATTCTAATTTTCCATCTCATATATTCTTCGCTTACTTTCTCACTTAGCTGATTTGTTCATGAACCAAAATCTCAGTCCTATTAACGAGTGGTTAAACTTTTCTCGTTCATTCCACGTAAGCTCCTGAGCTGCTGGGCCTGGCCAGAGAGGCGCTCATGCAGCTTGCTCTCGGTTCTTAACCATTGACTTGTGACTCTCAAATACTCCTGATAATTCTTAATATTTCACTAGAAAATCCCCTCTCTCTTTCTCTAAGACAATAATTTTCACATCATCTTTGAGCTCTTCACATCTCTAACTAAAGTCTGCTCCCTCACCCTCACTTTCTAGTAATCACTGCCCTCCATGTGCCCTTGAGAAAAAGTAAGAAAGGATTTCACTTCCTTATTTTTTCTGTAACCACGTTGCAGTGAACTTTTCCCAAGAAAGTGAAATAATTTTTCTCTGTTTCCTTCCCAGGGTAACTCTTAATTTGTGAACAAGGTTTTATTTACTATACTTTTAATAAAACATTTTCATTTTACTTTTATTGGTTCTTTTATTTGGAGATAGAGTCTTACTTTTTGGCTTAGAACATGCTTTGTAGAGCAGGCTGACCTCCGAGTTGCAAAGAGTTGCGTCCCAAGTGCCGGGAGTGCAAGTGTGTATTTTGATGCCTAGCTCTTACCCCATTTTAACCTACTTCCAGTTTCAGCCCCACAAGATAAAGCTTTCTCTGTCAAAGTTATGATAGTAAAAACTCTTGCCCGATGAGCATCAGTTCTCAGTACTAGCTGATTTGTCAGGAACATTTGGTATAACTGTCACTAGTTCATCAAGATAATGTTTGTTTGTTTGTTTGTTTAACTTCTAGAGCAAAGCATTTTTCTGTGCTCTTATTTCTTTGCTAGTTGCCCATTGCTATTTGCTGCTTTCTTTCTATATTGTTCCTCTAAATGCTGGGTGGTTCCCGATACCAGATGGAAACACCTCTGTCAGCTCTCCTTCCTAGAATGCCCTATCTCATCCAGATGCAAGGCTTACACTCACACCCCTATGGCTTCATCTTCTGAATCTGAAGCTGCGGCCCTTTCCCTCAGCTCACTGTCTATAACTAATTATCCATCTCATGCATTTGCTTAAATACCAAGGGGGTCCTTTCCCCTGGGCTCCCTCCCTTGGGTCTCAAACTGCTTCTCATCTAACAGTCCTTACTGAGTTATATGGTTTCTTGTTACCCAGCCAAAATTATCTTCAAAGTCTCATTTATTTCTTTTCCTTGGGATCCATGAACAGGAGTGCACATACTTCCATAAAATGTATATTTCAAAGTCAAACTGTTTTTACTACCCTTTCTGTAGAATCTTCACTCAAAGCAAGCTCATCCACACCTGGACCACTCTAGTATCCTGTCTCACTCCTCTCCAAATAACCATGGCAATAGTTTTCTAACTGTAAGCCAGGCTGCACCACTTTATTATCGAAACCTTCCAAGGGCTGAGAATGCACCAATCATCGTCATCATCACCATCATCAGCATCACCACCACCATCATCATCTTCATCTACAAGGCCTCATGAGATGTTTCCCCCCTCATCTGTCTTCACATATATTGCTATATCTGCACTGTCAGTCTTGGGATTCCTCAAAAATCCATGCTTTTCTCACCTCAAGGCCTTGCTTGCAGCTGTTCTTTTTGCTTGAAAAACTTCATATATATATATGTATGTATATATATATGTATATATATGTATGTATATGTATTTTTCCATATGAGACTGGAATCATATTTCCATATGAGATTGCAGTGAGAAGATTTTACATTTATACAATCTCTCTATATAATATTACTATATAATATATTATATATTATTATATATAATATATTG